TCTGTTAGGTCATCTTGAATCCTGATTCTTTTATTTGCAGCATGGAACAGAATCATAGAATCATAGAGTTTGAAGGGACCCCGAGAATCATCTAGTTCAACCCCTGCAATGCAGGAATTTCAACAAAAGCATCCATGGCAGATTGCCATTTATGAAGACATTGAACAGCCATGGGCCCAAGGCAGAACCCTGTGGCATGTCACTTGTCACTTTCTTCCAGGATAATTAAGAACCAGGTGGCGCTGTGGGTTAAACCACAGAGCCTAGGACTTGCCTATCAGAAGGTCGGTGGTTCAAATCCCGTGACGGGGTGAGCTCCCATTGTTTGGTCCCTGCTCCTGCCAACCTAGCAGTTCGAAAGCACAAAGTGCAAGTAGATAAATAGGCACCGCTCTGGCGGGAAGGTAAACGGCGTTTCCGTGTGCTGCTCTGGTTTGCCAGAAGCGGCTCAGTCATGCTGGCCACATGACCCGGAAGTGGTACGCCAGCTCCCTCAGCCAGTAAAGCGAGATGAGTGCCGCAACCCCAGAGTCGGTCACGACTGGACCTAATGGTCAGGGGTCCCTTTACCTAATGTGCACTAAGGTAAAGGTAAAGTATGGATTCGGTCATTCAACTAGCTGCAAATCCACCTAACAGTTAATCTCATCCAGCCCACATTTGACCAACTTCTCTACAAGAATATCATAGGGGACTTTGTCAAAAAGCCTTACTGAAATCAAGATACACTACATTCAACACATTCTGCTTTTCCATCAAGCTTGTAACTCTATCAGAAAAAGAGATGAGATTTGTTTGGCATGATTTATCTTTGAGAAACCCATGCTGGGTCTTAATAATCACAGCGTCCTTATCTAGGTGCTCACAGACTGACCGTTTAATTATCTGTAAAAGACGCCTGCTTCTTGGGAGAAAAGCAATGACAAACCTAGACAGCATCTTAAAAAGCAGAGACATCACCTTGCCAACAAAGGTCCATATAGTTAAAGCTATGGTTTTCCCAGTCGTGATGTATGGAAGTGAGAGCTGGACCATAAAGAAGGCTGATCGCTGAAGAATTGATGCTTTTGAATTATGGTGCTGGAGGAGACTCTTGAGAGTCCCATGGACTGCAAGAAGATCAAACCTCTCCATTCTTACGGAAATCAGCCCTGAGTGCTCACTGGAAGGACAGATCGTGAAGCTGAGGCTCCAATACTTTGGCCACCTCATGAGAAGAGAAGACTCCCTGGAAAAGACCCTGATGTTGGGAAAGATGGAGGGCACAAGGAGAAGACGAGATGGTTGGACAGTGTTCTCAAAGCTACCAGCATGAGTTTGACCCAACTGCGGGAGGAAGTGGAAGACAGGAGTGCCTGGCGTGCTCTGGTCCATGGGGTCACGAAGAGTCGGACATAACTAAACGACTAAACAACAGGACCTTTCCAGGTACTGATGTCAAACTGACTGGTTGGTAGTTACCTAGATCTCTCCTCACCTTTTTTGAAGATTATGGAGGTATCTCTCCCCATTTTTGAACATTTGTCCACCTCCAGTCTTCAGGGATATCATCTGTTCTCAAATAATTCTTGAATACTATAGACAGAGGCTCCAAGATTAAATCTGCCAGCTCCTTTAATACCCTTGGGTGCAGCTCATCATACCCTGGAGGTCTGAATTCATTTAAAGTAGCCAGGTGTTCCCTTACTATCTCTTTTCCTATCTCCAGCTGCAGCTCCATCCTTGTATCATTTATTCTGTTATCACCAGGTTTTTAAAAATGATTTTCAGGTTTTTACATTTCAATAATTTTACAGTCATTTTAACATTTCAAAACTTGACTCCCCCCCCTTCTGCGGTTCCTGAAATTTACTTTTAACATTTTCTGCATATCCAAATTAACTTAATTTGCTCATTTATTCATCTACTTAAAATATATATTCTTATGAAACTGCAGGTTATTACAATAATCCTGCCAATGTTCTTATCTGTTTACAATTTGCTTGTAAATATTCAATAAACCATTTCCATTCTTTTATAAAAAGTTTGTTATCTTGATTTCTTATTTTTCTGGTAAGTTTCACCACTTCTGCATATTCCGTAAGTTTTTGTATCCATTCTTCTTTTGCTGGAACTTTTTCTTCTTTCCATTTTTTGGGCAGGTACCGTATTTTTCGCACCATAGGACACACTTTTTCCCTCCTAAAAAGCAAGGGGAAATGTGTGTGCGTCCTATGGAGCGAATGCAGGGGGGAGGCAGGCGGGAAAAGCCCCCAAGAGCCGCACACAAGCTCCATACGCTCTTGCGGGCTTTTCCACAGGAGGGAGAAGGGACTGACTGGCCGCATCAGTCCCTTCTCCCACCTCCCAGAAAAGCCAGGAGAAGCCGCAATCTCTTTAAAGGGGTTGCGCGGCTTCTGTGGGCTTTTGGGAGAGGTGAGGGAATCCCCCCACCTCCCAGTAAAGCCAGGAAAGCCCTGCGCAGCCTCTCCAGCAAGGAGAGGTTGCGCGGGGCTAAAGAGGAAGCCAAAACAGCGAGCGGGATCCATCCTGCTTGCTGCCTTGGCTTGCTCCATAGCTGCATGCAACCCCTTCGGCAGGGAGAGGTTGTGCGCAGCCTGTACACTGCTCTTTGGGGTTGGGGGGGGAATATTTTTTTTCTTGATTCCCCCCCCCAAAAAAAAACCTGGGTGCGCCCTATGGTCCGGTGCGCCCTATGGTGCGAAAAATACGGTAACATTCTTGCACTGCTTTCCTTTCAGGTGAAGACAGAGGCAAATTAAGTGTTGAGCAGCTCCACCTTCTCTCTGTCACCCAACAGCATTTTTCCATCTTCTCCAGGCTGAGGAAATACTACTAGCTTGTTCTTCCTCTTGCTTCAAACAAAGCTGAAGAATACTTTATTATTATTTTTAACCTGTCTTGCAAGCTTGAGCTCATTCTTAACTTTGGCCTGCCTGACCTTCTCTTTGCTGGCTACTTGTGTTGGCTATTTCCTCTGTGATTTCCCCATTCTTTCATTTCTTATACATGCCCTTCTTAAATCTCATCTCACCCCTAAGCTCCTTATGCAACCACACTGGTTTCTTTAGCTGCCTCCCAATTATCTTTCTTGTTGGAATTGTCTGCCTTTGTGCCTTCAATGGGACGCGGGTGGCGCTGTGGGTTAAACCACTGTGCCGCTTGGGCTTGCCAATCGAAAGGTTGGCAGTTCGAATCCCTGCAACGCGAGTCCCAGCTCCTGCCAACCTAGCAGTTCAAAAGCACGCCAAAATGTGCAAGTAGATAAATAGGTACCGCTCTGGTGGGAAGGTGTCAGGGAACTGCCATAAGCTCAGAGGCGAGAGATGGAAGGGCATTTGTGTTATAGGGAGCCTCCGAAAATCTTGCGAAGCAGTTCCTCTTCCGGCGAGGAGGAAAGCCCTGCCTCCAGTGGAGAAGAGGTGCAAGGATCAGAGGATGCTAGGGAGAGCCTTAACACCGAGCCTGAGCAAACCGGAGAGGCGGAAAGCACGCCCTTGCCAGTGCCCATTCTGCGCAGTAGTCTTCGGCACAGGGAGGGGTGGAAAAGGCTGGGGGCGATGTGACTTTTATGCTGGGGGAGGTACAAAAACCGACCACTCCCGGATTCTGCTAGCAATTGAGCCAGACATGAACTTACAGCGCTCTTCACTGTAAATAGTTTGCACCAAGAATAAAGCCTGTAAAAGACAGGTCGGAGTCCTGCCTGGTTACTCTCGAGCAACTACAACAGCATCTGACAGAAGGTAAACGGCATTTCCGTGCGCTGCTCTGGTTTCGCCAGAAGTGGCTTAGTCATGCTGGCCACATGACCCAGAAAAACTGTCTGCGGAAACGGACAAACGCTGGCTCCCTCGGCCTGTAAAGCAAGATGAGCACCACAACCCCAGAGTTGTTTGCGACTGGACTTAATTGTCAGGGGTCCTTTTACCTATTACTGTGCCTTCAATATTTCACCTTTAAGAAACAACCATCCATCTTGGGCTCCCTTTTCTTTGAGTATTTCTGACCATGGGATCTCATTCAGTAGTTCCTCAAACTGGTCTATTTAGATAGTTCCTGAGAAACTCACTGGGTGAACCTGAGACCCTCAAGCTCCCTGCAGGAAAGCAAAACTGGGCACATAACGGCTAGAGAATGAAGATATCCTGGCAATAGAACAAGCAGGCTTTAGACCAGGAAGGTCCACGACAGATCATTGCCTAATGTTACAACATCTCAAATACAAATCAGGAGGGCAGGCCTCACTAAAAGCCTTCGTTGACCTAAAAGCAGCCTTTGATACAGTCTCCAGAACCAGACTCTGGGACAGACTACAGGGTACCAATATAGATAGAAGGCTCCTGCTCTTAATTCAGGCACTGCATGCAAACACGGCTCTTAGAGTCAGGTGCAGCCGCCTAGGACACCTAACGGACCCTATTAAAACCTTCAAAGGAGTCAGGCAAGGGTGCCTATTGGCCCCTCTACTATTTAATTTCTATCTAAATAACTTAGTATCTGCACTCAGTGACTCAGAACTCCACCCGCCAAAGCTTGCAAATCGGCATATTTCGGTCCTGCTATATGCAGATGATGCGGTAATTCTATCTAGAACCCCCATTGGACTCAAAAGAGCACTAAGAAAGCTTGCAGCATACTGTGAATTTGAATGCCTCAAAATCAACTATCAAAAGACCAAGATACTCGCTTTTGGGGGGAAACCAAAGCTTAGAAGCTGGGAACTCCAAGGCCATAAATTAGAACATGTCACAAACTACAAGTATTCAGGAATGGTGGTACAGGCCTCAGGAACCAACAAACTACACATAAACTCCATCGGGAGTTCAGCGGGGGGAAATGCAAATTGTATCCTTAAATTCTTCAGAGCACAAGGGGGCTTCTTCGTCCCCGCAGCTCTAAAATTATACAAGGCACATAACAGGCAGAAAATCAAAAAGCGTATTGTAGAGTTGGAAAAGGTTCAAAATGTGGGAAGCCTTTATTTGCTGAGAAACTGGCTCGCGCCACATCTCATCATGCTTGTTCCTCCAAACCATCAGAATCCTTTTGGTCCATACTGCAGGGGCTGGTTGGTGGAGCTGCAGTCAATATCCCAGACTCGACCAACCCAACCAATTACGGCCTTTAAACCAGAAACCTCCTTCCGCAGCAGGTCCATTCTTCAGAAAATTCCCTCTAGTTGTTGCAACAAAAAACATTGGTTGTATAAAACCTCCCACAATGTGGGGGATTCAGCCTCTATTCTAGCTTGGTCATTTAGGTCTGCATCGACTTTAGTATTTTTACTATTGTACTGCTTAAGTACCTGCTTCTTTTTTATCAAAGGAGGTGGATGGCAGTCTTCTAGAAACCCCACCAGGTCTACTTCCACCAGCCTCCACTCAGTGGGAAGCATGGTCAGGCTCTGGCCAAGGGTTTATGAGCTCACAGGGCCCACCTGCCTGAATAGCTGCCACACACTATCACTGACCTCCTCAACAACAGGAGCCTGGGTTCATTGTACTGGGCAGGTAAATGAGCATTTTGAATTGGAGCAGTCCATCTCTTCCACACAGCAGTTACCTGCTGTAGAATTACCCAATACGCCGGATAATTCTGTGGTGGGCTCTGCTGCGCAGATGAGGCAAATCATTCCCGAAGGGCAGGCACAGTAGGCTAGTCTAGGGTTACCAGACGTCCCCGGTTCCCGGGGACAGTCCCCGGATTCACCAATCTGCCCCCGAACAAAATCTGTCCCAGGAATGTCCCCGGATTTATGCCAGGGGACTTCCGGTGAGGCAACATGGCGGGCGCCATGGCAGCGAGCAACACCGGAGGTCCTGGCTGTGTCAAAGTTCCAGCCAGCCAGTCCGCTGGCTGGAGGGCGGCTATTTAAACCGAGATGTGAGCTTCTTTCTTGCTCGCTTCCTCGATCAACGCTCGCCCCGAACTCACACAGAGCTGCCCGCAACAGAAGAGCCCGTGGCGCTCTTCTGCTGCAGGCTCTGCATGCCCGAGTTGGCGGGGAGCGCTGAGGCAGTGAAGAAGAGTATGAGAAGCGTAGAAAAGAGCTGTGCCACGCCTTTACTCAATCTCTCTCTGCCACCACCAACCTCTTCTTTTGGCGTTTGTGTGTTTGTAAATGGGCATCTCCACCTGCTTTGTGTTGAGGTGCGTGCCCGACAACTTTGGGATCCCCACCCTAAAAAAAGATCAAGAACTCTGGGCAACCCTTTCCTAAAATAAAGCATGAATTTTATTTTTTTAAGTGTCCCCGGATTCCTTGAAAAAAATCTGGTAACCGACTTCCGGGTTAGCGCCATCAGCAATGACGGAGTTCCTCTGACCGAGAGGAACCCGCTCCGTGAAAATCGGGTCTTGCCGCCGCGGCGAAGGTGGAGACCCTTTAAAAATCCCAGGCGGAGGAAGCCTGGGAACGTGGGATTTGGCTGACACCAGGAGCCAGGGAAACCCTTTTTCGGGGATCCGAAGCGACGCGGGGTGAGTGGCTCGGTGTTTTGAATCAACCGCTACTTTTACGGAGTGAAGCCGCACAGCCGTTGCCGGAGAGCGCTGACTTTTTCCTGTGGACAATTGGACTCTAAACAAGTACCCGTGAGTAGAACAGAAAATTGGATTAAGAAACATTTTAATTTGGCACTGAAGCGGGAAGGTTCTAAACAGGAAGTCCGCCTCCCGTTTTTGTAAATAGATTGAAGCAAAAGCTTTGCAAGCTAAAGTCTGGAAAGTCGTATATAAAGGTCTAAATTTCCTTCGGTTATTACCACCAAAACCGCTCTTGGAAGCAGGAGAAAAGGGGGGGAATTTTTGACTGTTCAAGCCTGCAGGAGAGAGAGCAAAGAAAAATAAATTTCCACCGTCTCAAACCTGGGAACGGGGTGTCAGAGACAGAAATTTATGGGGAAGTTCATTGACTGTGAATGGAACGTCTTTTGACAGATAGTTAAAAAAGAGAAGCAAATTGATTCCAATGTTGCCTCTTGCATTCAAAAGAAACAAAATATTTGAAAAATGAAAGTAATTTTCTTTTGTTGGTCCTGCTTTCAAAAGATGGATACAAATAGAAATTGTCTCCTCTAGAGGGAGCTTGTTAAATTGTTGCTGGAGTCGATCTGGGGATTTCACAGCTGTGAAGATTAGGATCGTGAGACCAGACTCTGACCTTGAATAAAAATGTGTTTAGAAGAAGTTTTGGTGCTTGCTTTTTGCAAGACAAGCGCTTTGCTGGAGCAGATGCATGAGAAGATGGATTTGATGACTGTTGCAGTTAAAAACTTTGGACAAACGGCAAATACCCATATAGAAACCATTCAGGAACCAACCCAGGAACCTGTTTTGACAGGGCAAGTGCAAGTGCAGAAGATAATGGAGGAGGTTGCTGTTGAACCTCAAGTAACACAAATGGAGAGACTCGAGGCCTTGCAGGAGCATAAGCCGCTGTTCTTGAAGTTTGAATCTGGAGTGGACCGGGGGGGGTCTGGAGTTGTGAGGGCTCTTAATTTTGGAAGGACTTTGAAACATGCTTTTAAATACTTTCTGGATTACAGTGTTGACTGTGGGGAATGGGACTGTGGGGAATGGGCTGATCTGCTGAGGGGAGATGGAGATATTTTTGGATTGGAGTCCTCCTGAGACCTACCCCCCAATGAGAAAGGAAAGAAATTAAGAAAAAGATCAACAAAAGACAAAGTAAAGTGCAGGTATAAACAAGAAGAAGATCTGCAGAAGGGACATGGAAAAGACTTAAGAGCCTCGGACATAAGATCACCAGGTTGATGGACTAGATGGAATGGACAAGAAGGACTGACAAAACCCGAGACCAGGAAGAAGAGACGTTGGATGAAGATTGGAAGAAAGTTTTTAAAAATTTATTTTGAGAATTAGTGTGAAATTAATGAGTATTAGGAAAAATGTTGGAATGAAACTATTTGGCTTTAGTAGAAATGATATAAGGAGTTATGTACAAATAAGTATTAAGTTTTTAAGTTTTAAGGTTTTTAAGGTAAGATAAGGTTAAATAAATTAAGGTAAATTGAATGACAGAATATAGTGAAAGATGGAAAGGATTTGTTGAGTTAATTAATAGGTTAGATCGTTAAGATAAATTATATAACAAAAATTGAGAAAGATGGAAAGAATTTGCTGAAACAATTAATTAAATTAGAATACAAAAAGGGAGGTGTGAGGAGGTCGATGAAACAAGTAAATGAAAGATAAAGAAAAAAAATCTGGTAACCATAGGCTAGTCAACCTGCTCTGTGGCTCTCCTTCCTCCAAGACAGGACTTGGATCATGGCCCAGCAGAATTGGCCCAGTGAGAAGCAAATGCCAGGGGAACTGAAGATGAAGCAGTAGCAGCTCCTGGTGGATCAAATTGCTCCTGTAAGCAGAGCAGACTGTTTTTTGTTTTTAAACTACTTTTCTATGTGGTTATAAGCCCTGTGAGAAGGGTGAACTTGAAGGGCACAAGCTGCTTTGAAAGTGTGTGAGAGTGAGAAAGAGAAAAGTGTCAGGGAGAGGAGTTTTTTTTTGGGGGGGGAGAACAGGCAAGAAGAGAGAATTGCCACTGTTTTCTAAATCCCTGCTTAGGTTACCTACCACCACCACCACCACGCTTTTGGGGCATGTTTAGAAATCATCATAGTAAAGTGGGTTTTTTTCATAGTAAAGTTTAATGAAACCTGTGTCACTGGTTTGTTGTCTGTTTGTGTTGTGGTGTTGCATGACACCCCAAAATCTGAGAGGCGCGAGATTCGTCTGTCCTCAGATGTGGAAACAAACAGCAAAATGCAGCTTCCCTGTAGAAAAACATCAGACAAGCTAGCAAAGGCATTAGAACACACATAATCTAAATCAGATATTAAAACACAACTACATTTTTAACCCGACACCCGTTGGGTTTCCTTTCAAGCAATGTTTCCAGTCCTTCAGGATCTCTTCAGGCCATAGCTGTCAACTTACAGATTTGAAAATAAGGGACCAGCAGCCTCGAAAATAAGGAATCAGCAGCCAAAATAAGGGATTTTCCGGGCACGGGTATGTTCAACTTCTGAGCCCTTCCGAGCCAAAGGCAGAAAGCCCAGCCAGCAGCCAAACGAAGCCTCATCGATAAGGGACAGCAGCGGGACATGGCGCTGGGATAAGGGACTGTCCCGCCAAATAAGGGACGCTTGACATCTATGCTTCAGGCCTTCCTCTTTCCCCCTGGTACACATTCCCTCGCTGTCGTTTTTCTTCTTCTGGCCGAAGGTCTCTCTTCAGAAGCTGCATCCACTCCATAATTTAAAGCACATCCCCTCAAATATCCAGGACACTGCAGTTTGTTAAGCGTTCCAGGAATTGTATCACTGTAAAGGGTAGTTCCCACGATTCTTTGAGAGAAAGTAGTACAGTGGTACCTCAGGTTACATACACTTCAGGTTACAGCAGGAGGCCCCATTAGCTAAAGTGGTGCTTCAGGTTAAGAACAGTTTCAGGTTAAGAACGGACCTCCGGAACGAATTAAGTACTTAACCCGAGGTACCACTGTATGTGTATGCAGCCAAACTCAATTGCATACATGCTTATCATTATCTGATGAGGGAAGCCTTTTGACAAGACACTGTTGCATAATTTTATTGACTCTCGCAGTGTGATTTTGTGGACATAAATATCTGCAAGCAAGAGCTGATTGTACACAGCTGAGTCAGGTTTGAACTGCTACTAATCCACTTCACTTTACTCAAATGGGATTGAAACAAGGGAAACCTTTTATTTTATAGCACCATCCTAACCATGTCTTCCTGAATTCATGGGGCTTACTCTTGTTGTTTAGTTGTTTAGTCGTTTAGTCGTGTCCGACTCTTCGTGACCCCATAGACCAGATCACGCCAGGCACTTCTGTCTTCCACTGCCTCCCGCAGTTTGGTCAAACTCATGCTGGTGGCTTCGAGAACACTGTCCAACCATCTCGTCCTCTGTCGTCCCCTTCTCCTTGTGCCCTCCATCTTTCCCAACATCAGGGCCTTTTCCAGGGAGTCTTCTCTTCTCATGAGGTGGCCAAAGTATTGGAGTCTCAGCTTCAGGATCTGTCCTTCCAGTGAGCACTCAGGGCCTACTCTTAGGTAAGTGGAATTAGGATTGAAGTCTTAACCTATTGAGAGGGAAACCTGATGAGAGTTGTAGCATCTGGAGGACCAAAGTTTCTACAGCCCTGGAATAAAGGAACACCTGAAGACATCTACTTCGAGTGCTCAGCTGGTGTCTGAGAGCAGAACTGGATGAAGATCAATAAACCGAAGCTTAATCCAGACAGAATGGAGGTGCTGTTGAAATATGTTTTGTCTGAGTGGGGAGGTGGTTCAACATGTTTTGAATGTTCCTGCAGTTTTGGCTGATTAACATTCTCTGTTAATGTGCTTGTGGGAA